GGCTCCATCACTTAGTGTAGTGGGGGGCTGTGGGGTGCGTCCTATAGGGGGCGGGGGCTGGGGGGCTTGGGACTCCTTGGGGCGTCTTACAGCGGTCGTTTGTGGTGCTCTCAGGGGGTTACTGGAGGCCCCACCTTCTGATGACGTCCCCCACCCCAATTTTATTTTGCATTTTAGACACTTCCACCTACAACATTTTCACAACACACATCTATGTAGGGCATTTTCTGGGGGGGGGAAAGGGCACCCGGGCTTATTTCATGGGCCTCGCCATGGTCGGCTCCCCCCATCCCCTCTCACATTAAGATATTGAGGGTTCTGGGTTGTCGATTGGGGGGGTGCGCTGGCACCTCCTGCCTCCCGTCTGGGGCCTGGAGGAAGAACGAGCCGCCTGGTCCGGGGTCTTGGTGGGGGGCTGAAGCGGGGCCAGGGTGACCTACCTGTGGCGGGGCTGTCACTTCTGCTCTCCCCAAAGAAGGTTGGAGGGAGGGGCGCGTAGTGGCTAGGTGAATTAGTTAGAAGGGGTGGGGGGCGTTCTGGTTGGGTGGCCTGCACAGGGCATGTGGGCCCTGAGTTTTGGCTGGGGGTGGTCTGGTCCAGGGGCGGGATGGGGGGCCAGGCCCGAAGCAGGAACGAGATGGGTTGGGGTGGCGCTGTCACGGTTTTAGGTTCACTTATTGGGTCATCCGATAATCCCGGGACCAACAACCGGGTCTTTGGTCCTGGTATTATTGGATGTGAGTGTTATGTGTGAATGTGCGTCCGCGTTTATTTATTTTTTTCTGTGTGGTGTGAGTGGGGGCACTAGGGTGGGAAGAAAAAAAAGAAAAGGTGGGGGGCTGCAGAGGTCCTCCAGCTGGTTATTGACCCTAGCTGCGTGTTCTCCTCTGGTCATCATGTCAAGATGAAATATGGACACTGGTTCCCAATGCCCAAAAACCATGATCATAGCATGCGGCACAACAGATTTCAGTTAGCTAGCAGAACAGAAGATGGCGCTGTAGAGAGTTTGCGGGAGACCAGGAGTTGAGTGTTCTGTTAAGGTTCCACGCTGAGCGGTCAGGGTCCGTGGAGAGATGAATGTCCTCTTCACTGTTTACATCTTCACTGTTACCCTATCGACTATTTCAGCTGTCCTAATATTTCATTCATTCCATTGTTGCTCCTGTTCCAAGGCCTCAGCAGAATTAGAATTAGACAGTCTTTATTGTCATTTTGTACACAGGGTGTATACAATATGAAATTTAGTTTTTTTTTACAGCTTTCAAGACGTTTCCATTTCTTAAAGTGCAGATAAAATGTAAACATGTTGATCAGATTTAAACATAAGACTGAAATATCATTTACAGTTTTCCCAACTTCCAAGCTTTTTTTTTTCTTAATTCATCAGTGTGATGGCGGTGGGGAAGAAGCTGCTGCAGAACCTGCTGGTCCTGCATTGAATGCTGTGANCGGTTGGCTTCCCCCACCTCCTCTCTCATTTAGACATTGAGGGTTCTGGGTTGCGATTGGGGGGGTAATCCCAGTTTTAATTACACCTGAGAGCAACACGCAACAACACCATATTGGAGCAGGCGCAGGGAGGATTGGGGTCTTCTCACACCCCTGCTCCCCGGCTGCCGCCCGGAGTCTGGGGCCTGGAGGAAGAGCGAACCCCCTGTTCGGGGGCTAGGTGGGGGGCTGCTGCCGGGCCTGGGTGGCCTACCAGTGGCGGGTTGTCACTTCTGCTCTCCCCAAAGAAAGTTGGAGGGCGGGGCGTTCTGGTACATGTGGGCCCCAATCCTGGGGGAGCTTTGGCTGGGGGTGGTCTGGTCAGGGTGCGGGATGGGGGGCCGAGCTCCAAGCAGGAAACAGATGGGTTGGTGTGGCGGTGTCACCGCTGGCCCCTCATAATATTTCATTAATTCTGTTGTTGCTCCTGTTCCAAGGCCTCAGCAGAATTAGAATTGGTCTTTATTATCACTTTGTACACAGGGTGTATACAATATGAAATTTACTTTTTTACAGCTCTCAAGACATTTCCATTTCTTAAAGTGCAGATAAAATGTAAACATTTTGATCAAATGTAAACATAAGACTGAGATATGATTTACAGTTTTCCCAACTTCCCAGCTTTATTTTTCTCCTTAATCCATCAGTCTGATGGCGGTGGGGAAGAAGCTGCTGCAGAACCTGCTGGTCCTGCATTGAAGGCTGCAGACATCCCAAGTCTTCCAGGAGTTCCGGAAGTCTCCCTGATATCGATAGTTTTTCATTGATGCCCGCGATTCGGATAATTTATCCTGGATTTTACCCTCTGCGAGGTGGTGTTTTTAATGCCAGTCAGAGCGAGCAGCCAGTACAATAATTCATGCATCATGTGAGGATTAGATCTACTTCGATTGCACAGACAGCAATAGAGAGCGGGGTGTGAGGAGGAGGAGGTTGCTGGTGAAACCTGTGCAGCGTTTCTGTCCAAAGCGATGCTCTGATCAACCAGCGTTCCAGGCGACTGGTTGATCAGAGAGCTGATTGGATCAGTCTGATAAGTTTGGGAAACGGCAGAGGTTCAATCATCCAGTAAAAATCCAAAATATAGGACTAATTGTATAGCAGAATATACTAAAGTATATCCACGTCTAGTGAAGGGGAGGAACAGTGGTGGATCTAGACCAAATGGACCAGGGGGCCAGGAGGGGGCCAGCGTGTTTTCATGGGGGCCCAGAAAAGCATGAAATAAAAAACAGGGCAAGAGATTTAAATATGTTAAGAGAGCTGCATGAAGGGAAATTTATTTTCAATAAGGTTCAATAAAAATTCTATTTCTTTTGGACTTCGGATGTCTGATGCTGTGAAGCCTCTTCCCAGAGGGCAGCAGGGAGAACAGTCCATGGTGGGGGGGTGAGGGGTCATTGATGATGTCACGGGACACGCAGCGCTGGGATGAAATGTCTTTAATGGAGGGAAGAGGAACCCCCATGATCCTCTCTGCTGTTCTCACCACTCTCCTTACTTTCTTCCCATCTGAGGCGCTGCACCCTCCACACCACACAGTGAGACA